ACCTTGTCGAAACGTTGTACATTTGCTGTCTTCTAAAAACTTCTATAAATATTATTGTATTTCATTTGTTTTAATGACCATTTTATTAAAAAATTAGATCAATTTCAGGTTTTTAATTTATTGGCCCCACCTTAAAATGTTCTGCCCCCCCCCCCTACGCCACTGGGTGGGTCAAGGCTTGAAAGTGTCGCGTAGTCCTAGGGGTGTTGGCTCTTGTTCAGAAGTCTTCCACGGTCTAGTCGTCGGACTTCAGTTGACGGGCAATCCCTGGCTGGCGGTAGGTCGTTGGAATCCCTTCCACTATGATGGCTGGCTGTTTCTTCGTTGATGACTCAGGGGTGGCTTGCTTGTGGCTATTTGGTTCTGTGGTGGTGGTGTTATCACCTACAGGCTCAGGTAGTGGCTTGTTACCGTACGTGGGCTGTTCTGTTGTCTTCGTCAGTGAGTACTTGTTGCTAGTCGACGTGGTACTGGTGTCCAAATCCACTTGTGAAAGAAAACGCATGTGAATTAAACAGGTAAAAGATTTCAGAGTGCCAATCCTTTCAACCCAGATGTTATATGTTACTGCAATATCTTCTCAGGCAGAATAGACATTATCTTCTATAGAGAACAAAGGAAGTAGAACAAGGAAACGTAATTACTTTTTGGACCACTTGTTGTCATCACTACAGCACGGATAAATATAATGACTGAAAAAAAATTAAAAATCTCTATCTAACTAAAGTATGTAAAAAATTTATAATATGGCTGCATATCATAACACTTTAATTGTCCTTGTTTTTAGAGCATATAAGATATGGGTTCTCTAATTGACAATTAACTAGCTTTCTGGCAGGAGAGATAGCACGCGATGTTCAGCAACATAAAGTTATTTTTCCTGTATGCAAATCAAATTACTATTTTGAAAAGTTTTTTTTGGTGTACAAAACTTGAAGATAGCTTTTATATGCGGAAGCATCTGTTAGCTGAGTTCTTGCACAGATCTTAAAATGAACAACTCGACTTTCAAGATCTACATATCTACATGTGCCGATGTTTCCGTTTATCAACGTTATATTTTAAGATCTGTGCAAAAACTCAGCTAATAAATGTTTCCGCATATAAAAGCTATCGTGAAATTAGTAAAAGGGGCAGTTATGCCCTAGAGCTTATTTGTCAATGAACACAGTTCTCAGATGTGAGGTACATTTCATGTGCGGACTTGGCTTTGTTTCTATATTTTGTTTTTATATTTAAAACCATGTTTGCCCCCGTAAGACAGTATTATTTAGATAGATTAAGGAATTTTAAGAGACTTAGGCAAGGATTTAATATAGTGGTGCGTAGATATATTTAGATTATTAACTTACTTTGTTTTAACATTACACTCTTTGTTTTGATCTGGTGAAACCCGTCAATGAAATGTTCAGTTTGTTTTAGTTGTTTAACTTTATATTTTTGCAGTAATAACTTGAGCGTTATTTTTGTTTGTGTTTAAGAGAAAAGATAACCTTCGCTTAACTGTTAGTAAGTGAATATTGCTTTGTCTCATTTCTATTAAGGTAGATAAAATAACGACCTACATATCCAGAATGTATCTTATTAACTCAAAATTTTGCTATTACACATTCATCAGTAGCTATCAGTATCCTACAAATTCACTGATCTAGTTGAAATTAAATTCGAACACCTGTCATTAGTTAATGGAACGTCGATACACGTATATAGAATTAAAAGGTTTAGATCATATCAAAATAATATCACACACACTAATAGTTTCGTTTTGAGTTTACTTAATCATTATAAGTATTATTTTATTACAAGTTACAGTAAGGAAAAATATTTTTTTTTAAATATTCTTCCTTACTGTAAAAGCCATAACTTGTAGTAAAGTAATATCAAATCTTAAAATTAAAGAATAGGTTGAATAATCGCCAAGTTTTTGTTGTATTTTTATTTAAAGAAGGATGGCGTTTCAGATCTGACGAAGAGCGCTAGTTCGAAACGTCATCCTTCTTTAAATAGAATATAACAAAAGCTTGGCGATTGTTCAAACTATTCTTCAATTTCAACATCTTTGTCGCCTATGCGGTTTTAACTACATACTTATTAATATCAAACGTTAAGTTGGTTGGTTTACTTGCTGGCTTTCCTTCTTTTAGAAATATTAAAACGTCCGCTTGGTTCCAAGCAGTCGGTATGTATTCAGATTTAGAGATATGTTTAAATGTAGCAGATAGATGTTCGTACAATCTCGGTGTGCCTTTTTTGATAAGTATATACCGTATTTTGTCATGTTGAGGAACCTTGCTTTTTTTTTTGTCATTTTGAGAGTGTCTTGTATTTCTGGCACTGTTATTGGTTTTATGAGTTGTTGAGTCGTGTTTTCTTGATTGCTAGGGGACTTACTGGGAAGGTAGGTGAGTATGGGATTTTGTTTGTGTTAATATGGTTATTAACTTTATTGTAGAATGATTTGTTCACTGTAGGTTCGTTTTTAAAGTATTTTCTGGATATTTCTGCTTTTTTTTATTTTTGTGTTGGTAGTGGTGTTATTGTATTTTAGTGTGGGATATATGTGTTTATTTGCATTACTTCCAGAAAATATTTTTAAGTGAGACCACGTGCATTTGGGGTCTGTGTGTTTGTATAGTTTGAGCAATATTCGTCCCAACCATCTCTTTCTAGTCATTTTATTTTGTTTCTTATAGTGTTTCTGAGTGTGTTTAGTCTGGTTTTGAGATCAGTATCTTGTGTATTCATATGTATATTTTTCGTAGTTTTCTGCGTTCGTTTACAAAAGCCCTTAGGGTCGCGCCCTTCAGTGTGAAAAACACTGCTCTAAATGAAAACAGTTTTACCTGAATATACCACAAATATATAGCAAATTAAATACATCTATATGTATAAAAGAGGAATTTTGTTTATTTTGTTCGCTATAGGAAACCAAACGGTTGAACTTGCAAATTTTAAACTAACTTCATAAAAACCAGATTTTTACAAGAAATTTAATGGTACTATTTATTTTGTATTTGGTGTAGTATTTAATGACAAAATTGACAATTAATGATTATTGTGCCATTTTTTTTTGTAATAAACGTACAAACATAAGCACGTTTTGCACATAGAAAGTGTTATGGCGGGAGACACTCAGATCACCTTGCTGTCAGTTCAGTATTTCCAAAAACAGTTTTCTTTAAATAGTACTAAGTGGTTTGATAAGTAATTTAGTAACTTTGTGAATTGCAAATTATTGTTTAGTGATAAAGGTGATTATGCCACCCAAGAAACGCCCTTTATATGGAAAGTCTTCTGCCGCTAAAAGAATGCAAGCACAAAGAGCAGCTGAAACAGAAAAAGAACGCAATCAAAGACTTCAAGCACAAATTGCAAAACAGGGTGTTCAAATACAGGAAGAGACTTTGGAACAACGTAAAGTTAGACTTCGAGCTCAAGTTGAAATGCAGG